TCATAAGCAATACAAGACAGTGCCTCCTATTCTTTATTTTTAGGGATGAACTGAACTTTAAAATTTTAACTGAGGTAGTAACCATTTTTTAATATGTTGTGAAATTTCCTAATATGAAAAACATGTAGATGCGAAAAAACCGAGATTTTTGTCACATCCTTTGGTCCTACTAAAAACTTGACACAAAGATAATTTATATTTCTGCATTTTAAAATTTTAAAAAATTTACTTCAAACTTAAAATTTCTCAAGGAAAGAAATAAAGTGTAAAAATACTCGCAATTCATCCTCAATCGAATAAACCCGCACAAGACAAGGAAAATCAGAGGCTTGCACCTACTCTACCTTTTTGTTGTTTTTACTTATTAAAGTATATGAAATTTCTAGGGGTGGCATTGTCCCCCCCTAAATTGTTCCAGCCGGGGCACATGTCCCTGTGCCCCGGCGCCTATGGTTTGTAGTAAATTCCGTCATTTTGTCGTGGCGAACCTGGAACCCCGTTGCCTATGCTTGGGATTCTAGTCGCCTCCTGCAACGATCCATTACCAAGGGAATGTAGAAAGTTCTTCGGTACTTATATTATAATAAGAAAAGGGGAAGGAAAGGGGCAGCAGAAAATGCCCCTCTCGGCTACCAGGCACCATTTTCCTAACGTAATTTTTTTTGTTGATATAGGCGGAATTCATGCAGGTTAATTGACATCACTCCACCGGGTTTGAAATAGTTCGATATTTTGCGTAAAAACTTAATTTGTGTCGCTATTAAGCCGAAGCGATGTTAATTTTGAGGTTGAGTTAAGATGAATTTTAATATCATAAACTACAATAGTAAAGCTAACAAAGTAGTTTACTCAGACAATATCCCCACAAAGCCACGCAGCTTTAACGTAGTATGAATATTAATCCAGAAGGATGGTAAATATCTATTCATTCGGCACGATTGTTGTAACTTTAAGATAGCGATTCAAATTATCATGAGGGAAGCGTAGGTATTTGCGAAAAAAAAAGGTGCAATTACTTGAATGAAATGTCGGGGGGGTTCTTGAGCCTAGCAAACACGCCTTTACGTACAAAAACACTTCCAGAACTTTCTAACCCTCTGGGGTAAACCACCAAACTAACGATATAAAAACTTCAAGTCTACCAAGAGGTCTGATTTATTTTCAAAATAAATAGTAAGCGTTTTACGCAGATTTACGCGACTTAAGAGGAAAATCGGGAATTTGTGCCGCTTTCAGTTTCAATTTGAACGCTTTCTACAATTCGGCACGTACAAAGAAAACAGCGTAATTACTCGCTATGAATTCTCTATTACGAAGACACGTTAAATAGCAAAGCCTCTTTGATGTGTTTTTTGTCGAAATTATTTTTTAAGGTCTTTACTAAAAAGATTTAATTAGAAATGATACAGAAACATGTTGTGCAGTCGAGAATATTAGAACGGAAATTTTCAAAGATATTAAACATCAAAGCTTCTGTATCTAAATTACAGTACCTGAAATTTTGATCACAAATTACTTGCAATTTTACGAAACTTATTGATATTACTTACACAAATATTTATGACTTACTACTACACAGATTAAAGCCAACTAATTAATAGTCAATGTTTGTTAAGTTGAAGTCCAGAATATTCAAACAAGCAGCTGTTAGTGTAGGCAAATTAATCTCACTAAAGCGATTAGAAAATGATGTATGCAATAGTGAAACTGTACATTAAACTATCCGTACAGTATAAAGGCTCCCAAACTTCCTAATGACTATACTAAAACTACTGTCACTTCTTCAAAACTGTCTTGACAAAACCCGACTACCGGAATGAAATTAATCGCACGACCATGATTGATTTGCCTCTTTAAGAATCAACCAAACCATATACGCATCGCATAGACAAGGCATTCCTTTAGAACCGATTTACATAACAAGTTCCTTTTGAAGACCACCTTTTTGACACGTAATTAAATACGTTTACGATTTGGCAAAATTTACCTTTATCGTTTTTCAACGCGACTGACGATAGCACCGAAATTGCTAAATAAACAAAACAGCACAAAATTTAGCTAAATGTGTTGTGTCGTTTCCGAGACGAAATTAGAGCGAATAAACGACGCTTTTGCTTACCTCGAAAACATACTGTTCTCTGCTGGCCCGTGTAAAGTTAGCGACAAACAGTCAGCAATAGATACTGCATATTTCATGAAAAGATAGCAGCATTAAATATGGACACTAATTAATGAAATGTGGCGATAATAAAATTTATACATAGACCTTCTGATACACGTAGTGCTGACAGACAGACCCAAATTAAGGGTTTTTTCAACATTAATTACACCAGATATTAAATCACATATCAACCAATAAAATTTGTTGTTCAAATATTTAGCAAGATATTTTAAACACAAGGGAAAAGTAAAAACTACATAAACTAAACCGTCCAAAATCTCTGCTTTATTTTCTTTCACAGCAACCGTACACGTGTTTGCGCACATGCAATTTATAGGCGATATTTAAGGGTTGATATGTAATATAATTAGTGTTCAAACACCCTAAACGTCCCCACTACGTGTACCTAAGAAAATGCGTTATTTTAGGGCTGCTATGTGTATATTTAACATCAATCTGCGATATAGTTAGTGTTAAAACGGCCAGATGAATATTTTTGAATATTTATTGCCAACTTCACGCACGTTTTCTGTTGCCTATGGTAAATATTAACGAGCTTTCACGCACGGGCAGACGTCTTGATCGCAATTGTGCGATTTTCACAAAGCAAACATTTTGGTTGAGCTCAACTTTGCAACTGTCTGTTAAAAGATGGGCTGTCACATTAAAATTTTAATGAAATATAAAACATGCAACAGGCCTACAATTACATACAAAATTTTGACGACACATGCACCCAATTTGCTTTATTACCTATATTAGATCTGCTAGAACAAAAAGAAGATGCACAGATTTTTAGTGAATTTTTTAAAGAATTGGAAACGTTACACTATGTCTATGAAAACGTCTAGTAACAGTTCATTTTTTAAGTGGTTTTTAAGGTGCCTTTAAACTTTTGGGGTTCCAGACTCCTCTTAGTGTTTTGTAATCTTTAATTTTAATTTGACTTAGGTACTTAAAAACAGCTCCCCTCCGTAAATTACTACGTTGCGTCTTAGGATAGTAATAGCATTTTTCGATGCATTTCATGCTCAGCAGTCCCCACCAAAATTGTATGGTTCTTCCTCGAATTGTGCGAAGTTCGCTTTCATACTATTTCTGTTCCTATTGAGTTTTTGACGGTTTTTGAAATTTTCCGAATTTTAACATTGGAAATGTTTATGGTTTCATAGGTATAAATGGGTATACAGTTGCGAGTTTTTCATTCAAGCAGAAAAGGCAACGCTGTCGCATCAAGGGGCGATTGTACCCTACTCGACCGTGATTGGTAGGTGGTAAAGTCGCGGATACTGTCGATACCGTACTTCCTTAATAGCGCTTACTAAAATTCTCCTTTGATAATATTACGAGTATGTTACGACGCTTATTATTTAGAAGGGTGGTTCGATCAAATAAGAGATATTTGTGTTATACATAGGTGGCGTTATACGGTTATCATTTCCAATGTCTCCGATGGTTGCAAGGATTGCGAAATCTGTGAATTTTTTTACTGCTAAGATTTTGACCCATAGATAATAATACGGATCTTATCTCAGTGCCTACATTTTCTCAAATGGGAAAAGTATAGGCGCTCACATTTTTATTCGGGCAAATACTAGCAAAAATACCGAAAAATATAAATGGAACACCCCGTATAGAGTAAAATCAAAAAAAATTCTGAATGACCCTATATTTTCTTAGTTAATGGAGATACGGAAAAATGTCGTTTACAAAAGTTTCTCTACAATAATTGTTGAATAATCTGCCGTTTTTAAAATAAGTATACGGGGTCAGTTGTCTAACCTCACATTTTTAAATAGAGCACCCTGTATATTTTCATCTAAACCAATAGCACAATAAATTCTCATGTAGGTACCTAACACTAAAAAATTCATAAATATTTTAAAAAATGTTGTATTTTTTGAACTGTTTTAAATTGTTTAAAGTCCTTTACAATTTTTTTTGATCAGTTGAATCTTTTTTGAATACTTTCCCAGATGTGTTATATTTTTGGAAAGAGAATTTATTACCTATATCTTTTTAGATTAAAACTCGGATGAAAATATATACGGTGTTCCATTTTAAAACATTAGGTTAGGTGCGATAACTTTTTTTACCTGGCCCCGTATACAATTTTTAGCGCGTTTTTGAAAAAAAAGTAGCACTTTGGCTGTTCGGTCGGTCGGCTGCAAAGGTTTTTTAAGTAACTGTCGAAGGAATCATCGTAGAACGCTCGGGTTTGTAACATTAGCTTTGTATTTCAATTTTTTGCAAGCAGATAAGCATCGATTTTTCCAACTTGGAATTTTTAGCGAATTGTTAATACAAAAATCGGCTAGTTGTGGTTGTGGTGGATTCCATGTTGGAATAATCCTTTTCTTCAGCTACTGAATCACATTGACCCCACAACACAATCATTATTGTTGCTACTGTACAACATTTTTAATATGACATGATTTCATTTATGTATTTCCAAAAGAATCGAATGTGTATCTGTGGAGAATCACTTAACGTTTGCTCATGAATCAACTACATACCTACGCTTATACAGAAAGTAATACCTTTGTTCACTAAATTTCTTAAAAAATTGACATTCAGGAAATTAGACAAATGGTTCGCGTGACAAAGCAACGTGAATTAATCATATGTGACAAAATCTCGTATCTTGGTAAAACGAGTAATCTTCGCACGAAAATGTGTCTATGGTTATTTATATCACATTTCTGTTAAAAATCGAAAATTATCTCGCCCTAAGCTAGAAACAAGAGTTTACCTACTTCAAACCCATGTGTCACATCCTGATTCGTACAAAATTTCCAAATATTTTTGTATCGAGAAAAACTTTTGAGAATCTACTCACCAAAATCCTTGATGATAGCAGGAAATAAACAGGATAATTAATTCCATCAAGTGGTAATCATCACTAATCCACCGTCACTCCGGAAATGAAAAGAGCGGTCAACTAAAAAACGAAATAAAAAATAGTACAACGATTGTAAATATATATTTTTGTTAATATTATAGACGCCACCGGTAATTGATAGGAAATTAACACAAGCCCAAGGAACTTCAATGTCACCTAGTGATTCACCAGTGACGCAATTTTATAAGATTGCACCATAAATTGAATGTATTTTCATTCAATTTATGGTGCGATGTAATTTTAGGATTATCTGGCAAGGTGGAGGTCAATTAAAATATTCCTCATGGTACAGACCACATGTCAAAGGTGAAATAACCCAAAAGACATATCGAACGAAAACATATCTCACTAACTCATAATTGCAATTTACGTGGTATGTGAATGGAATGTAGGATTGTTTAAATATCAAAGGTGAAATTTTAAAATCATTTTACATAACAAAAACACAGGTTGCAGTCGGAAACGCTCATGCGATTTGCACATACGGTGATTCATAGGCGTGAATAATAATTAGCAAATTGCGCTCACTTTGTAATATAAACAAATGGAATGATGCCAGTCGCCGTAAATATTTCCAATAATTACCTCTTAAATAAATGTCCCTCAATTAACTAGGCGCAATGTTTGGGCTACGGAATGTGAAAGTGCGACTAAATGGAGTTACTTCAAAGATGACCAAATTCAAATAAATTTTGCTAATGCTCTCTCGAACTACCAATTTTTTTTAAAATTGAGATGTATTGCGTTCTAATAAAATCGGCGTCTATTCACGCACACCCACGCACGAATTAATAAGCCATTAATTATTGAATATCGTAAAGAGTGTCGCCCACTAATTCGAATGATTTATAATTCCCTAGATACATGCAGAAGTTTTCAATAACATGCAAGCTCAATTAAAAAACAAGTGCATGCAAAGCGCGCTTTCTTAAATTTTATGAAAAAAACAGAAATAATGTCCAGTGGCATTTGGTTATTTTTTATCCCAGGGGACAGTAGAATTTTCACAATATTTTTTCGATCATGATCAAGAACTACGACAATTAATGACAATAGCCCATCGCCTCCTCTGCCACCGATCCGGAAAGTCCTTGATAGATGCAAACATTCCTTTGGGAAAAGGCAAGTGTGTACCGAATTAAAATTCGATTACAGTTGCTGTACATAACTTCGTGTGCAATTAATACGTTTCAAATTAATGCGGTCATTTGGATTACGCAACCTTGTCATTTTGCAAACAGTAACACCTTCCCGTTACGAGCCAGAATTAATCCTAAATTCCGAGTGATCCAGCTTTCCAGGGTTGGACGACTCAAGGGGTAGTTTTAGACGCAGTATAAATAAGGTTAAGCGAAATTTTTTATTTATATTCAATACGATCCGCGTCCTTCAAGAAATTTGACAAGTTTGGACCGTAAATAGAAGCATTTTTGAAAGACTTTATGCAATCATTTTGTAACTGTGTGAAACGTTTAAAAGAAATTTTCCCCTGTAACCAAGGCGGACGAGAAAATTTTTTTAATTTTCAGGTTGGAAACAAGTCCATTTTACGAAGGAAATTGGTGATCCAGTTTTCCAAGGTTGGACGACTCAAGAAACCGTATAAATAAGGTAAAGCGTAGGTTAAAAAAAAATTTGTATTCAATACGGACCGCGTACTTCAAGAAATTTTAAGTTTAAACCGTAAATAAGAAGATTCTTGAAACACTTGATCCAATCATTTTGTAACTATATGAAAGGTATAAAAGGAACTTTCCGCTCCAACCAAACCCATATGTGCACAAAAATTAAACACGGTCCCTTAATTTGCTCTCTCTTAACTTAATGACAACGATCACGATCCCCCCCTCAATGTACAAATTTTTTTTGAGTGGCCACATCTTCTTCGCGCGTTTATTTATAATCGAGAATCGAAGGGAAAACCACTACGGCGTATCATTCACGATGTCTTTGACTCTATCCGTCTGTAACGAGTTTGATGAAGTGAAATGGACGGCGACTTTAATGATTAATGGTAGTTTGATGATACGGGATAAAAGTGATCAACGAAATGCGGTATGAAATAAAGGAAAGCGTCTGAATTTTTAAAGTTTTCATGTTTTGAACAGGGCTGGAAATGAGGTTCTCAGGCTAATCAGTACCGTTTACAAATACTGATACGTTGTTGTCCTTATATTGTGTTTTAATAAGGCCCAAATTGGAGTACTGTCATCTTATCTGGTATCCGATCTATAAGACACATTATTTCAATGGAGAAAATTCGAAGAAGATTTATGAAATACGTCTGTCCTTATTTAACTTTCATGTTCCGCCTCGTACTAGTCGCTATCCGTTAGTTTTTTTTAATCCTACTCCTAAAACGAACTTGCTGTTAAAATCGCCAGCGTGTTTGATGCCACAAATTTGTAATAAATACTGCATACAGTATGATTTAAATATCTGCTCTTTATCAGATGTAATTAATCTATTTCTTTAATTTGCAGACCTATACCTAAGAAAGAAATCGTTAATTGGTTTGTCATTTTATAGATATATATGTCTCTTTACACTTAAATATCTCTTTATTTTTTGTATAATGAATTTATAGTTTATTGTTTATTTGGTATATTTAATTTTGCAGTTGCTTTGATACCGGATGAATATATCTGTTAAACATGATCTCTTAATCGACCCTTTCTTAACTCTCGGCAACGATCATAAAACTAAATGTAACAATTTTAACTTGAAAGTGTCCCCATTTTCTTGGCGCGTTTCTAATAAAACCTATTTTTGACATTTGAGATCATTTAATCGACCGCCTCTTAACCCTGAACAATGATCGTAAAACTAAATCCACCCCCAACCCCTAGTCTAAACATTTTGCCTTAAAAGTATCCATGCGTTTCTCTTTCTAGTGAGAACCCAGTTAACATCCGAAACAAAATTTCCCACAAAACTTAAACACAATTCCTTTGACGACCCTCTCGACAACGACAACGATCATGATCTACCCCAACCGCTAATGTAGCAATTTTGCCTTCACAGTGTCCGGGCGAAGAAATTCAAAGACAAATTTGGTACATAGGGAATGGGAGTTTTATGGTCGCCGTGGATAGTTAAATTGTGTGTTTAGTTATTGCTATCTTCATAATAAATATATGCTAATATATTGCGGGTTTGGAAGAGGGGGTGTCATAGAATGGCCACCACGGTTTGGCTCTGCTTTGTTTATGTCCGTGAAGAATTTAAACACAGAGCGACCTCGAGAGACAGACCATTTTTCTTGGTCTTGGTTTTTTTTTAATTGAATATAAAGCAGTCTATCCAAATTTGAGTTTGTGGGGGTATTTCTTTAAAATGATGTGCATATTATAATTTTAATGTGGGGGTGCGAGGGCGAATGCTAAAACTACGATAAACTTTTCCCCTAGTTATCTAATTGTATGTGTTTTTGCAATTGTTGGCTTTATATAAAAATTGTAAATTATAACCGGTGGTTCGTTTTGAAATGACAACCATGTGAAAATTTCCGAAGACGATTTTGAATCGAATCAGGTTTTCACGGGTTTTCAAGAAGATTTCTTGGAAAACGTATGTTTATTACTTATGCAATAACAATTACGTATATTGAGATTTAACCAGTGTCTAAAAATAAGTCTTGAGAGCAAATCTCCTTGATCTACATACTAATTATATTCTACAAGAAACTTTAAACTAACAAAATATATAAAGTGTCTAAATACGTCCATCATTAAAACGTGAATTAATTATTGTTTATTGGAACTTGGAAGCGGGCACAATTTAGCGAATGATCGCTTTAACACGCTCGATTCAGTTTTAACTTCAGCAATACCCTCGCTACTTTTCAACTGCCGCTATGAACTTCAATCACTCTACCCAATTTTTTTTGTAATGGTGATAACTGATCTTTGATTTGAACTAAGGATCCAGCATTTAGGTGGGTTGTCTCGTGCTTCCATTTTTGTCGTTGCAATCCACTTCACTTCACTTCACTTCAAGCAATACCTACATAATGCTATAGTTTGCTGCAGACTCGCTAGCGACTGTAACTGTAAGAATTTTTCATTCCAATGGATCTGAACTAAACACATATTCATGTAAGGCCAGCAATTACTGGACTCTATTGGACCAAACCGCCACACATTTTTAGCTGAAATGTCAATTGGTTGGTTTCACACTCGGTTTCACACCTCTATACAATAAATCTGTAGGGTTTTCCATCCCTGGTGCACAACGCCTATTTTCAAGAAAGAAAATTCCTGAATCTTACCGACTTTATTACCTACAAAGGTTTTAATCTACCTTCATAATTCACTATCCCTATCTACTTCTAACATAGCAGAAGGGATGTAATTGGTTATGCATTTCACAACGTAACAGCGTTGAGTGAAGGAATTAGGTAGGGACGCAACCTCCATAAGACAAATCGTAGTCACTTTTATCTCTTACTAAGCATTTCCCTTCTCCATCCAGCACACTGGAACACCGACTAGAGACTTGCCGTCGGGATCTGAGATTCCATAAGCGCTGTGTATATCAGATCATACGTTCGATTCGCCTCGATCTGGATTTCTTTTACTCAACAGTAACACCACTTTTTTCGCTAATTCAATATCCCTGCTCGAAAGACCATGTTCCTTATTTATGCAATAACAGATCTTGAGATTTAACCATTTTTATCTTTCTTCGTTTTCTATTTTGACATCTATCGAATTTCAAATCTACTTGATCTACATACTTATTATATTCTCGACAACGAAACAGAAGAACGGGTTTAACGAGGGGGTTCCCTGAAGACTTTGCAAGTGACTGTTCTGTTGGAGATTGTGCGATTCTCTTAGTTATTGTTCAAAATTTCTTAGTACTTTCTAACAGATGATCAACCCCTCGCTAATCTACTACCAATTCGAGCAAAAAAATTGTGGGGGGTAAGTTTATTAAGACATTCCTATAACTTACACAATTTCATCATCATCGCGTGCAGAACAAACCAGGGTCAGCATCCGCACTCATCTCTTATTAAATAAATACGTCGGATC